CCCAATTCATTTTACTCTATAATAACCAGTACGTCTAAAAAAGTAACTCTGACATTTTCTAGCTCCATCGTGAATTCATTTCTGTCTAATCTATTTAATGACCTAGGTAATCCGTACAGAGATTCTGAATTGTTCCCAGATAGCAAAGTACTGTACCATATATCTGGCCAAAAACTTAGGCAAGGTTCGTCAATCTCAATATTCACCGCCTACTCATTTTTTTTCCTGTTACAATCCCTGGACGCTAATCTAATGCTAATCATAAAGCCTGCGCTGCCTAATTATCAGAATATTAATGCTCATCGGCGTCATATCAAAAATTACAAGCAAATCTTGCTGTTCTATTATTCGCTCGCTAATTGGGCTGAAAAGGTAGCAAGGACTCTTTATTGAAAACTGCCAAAATCATGAGATCGAATAAATATGGAATTTTTTTCAATCAACATTGTAATTGTATAATGCTTTCTTGATGCCTCTCTTAAACCAAATCGTTGGCTACCATAAAAATGGTGATAGTTAGTAGTTATATATTCAAGTGGTCAGAGAACCATACGTTCTAAGTCACATTTAAATAGTGAGAAATCTAACAAAAAGACAATGAATAAAACTACAAAAAAGTACATTGTAAAAGTAAATTTAAAAAATATATATACAAGCGAGGCAAAAAAGATGTGCAGAAGTTAAGTGCCGAAATTTGGTCAATGATCTTATTCTAAAGCTTCTGATTAATAAAATATCTCATAGAGGTAAAATGATTTTAGTGATTTTTTATTGTATGCATTTTTAGTAATCCAATAATACAATTTGCGAATTTACAGTGATTGTCCTTAGGGAATTGGATATTCTAGCTTATAAGATAGATATACTCTTTTTTCATAACTATCCATATCATATAAATTTAAATTCTAATGTATAACTATAGTTTTAACATATTCTAATAGATTAATCCACATTTCATCTTGATAATAAGCCTTGAAAAAGATAAACGGAGTGAGATTTAAAAAATTTAGTCTTTTAGGATCGCCTGGAAAAAACCTACCGTCTCCAGCCAAGGGAAAGACAACGTAACGCATAAATGCCAACAATCCATTCCCATTAGCAGCTGTCACGCCTTCCTGACAGACAGAGTGCCTTATCTTGTGCATCACCAAATCGGCCGAATCAAGAAGGTCAATCTTTGAGTCTATCTCCGAAGAGGACATCTTGACGCCCGATAAGCCAGGAATCATTGGATTCATGAGATGAATGCGCTTTCGATAGCCCAAATGAGGAAGATACTGTGAATGAAGGCGGATAAGAAAGGAAAAAGATAGCACCCAAGTGTGACAGAAAGCTAGTAAGAAGCGCAAGCAGTCAGTGATACAGCAATGATTTCGTCCGTAGCAAAGGTTAACGTAAATGAACTCAATTCACGGATTTTGGGCGTACTCGATGCTTTTATTGAGTTAAATTGGCCTTGACATCTAAAGTAAACCCCTACCTCATAAACAAAGGGAATACTCATAAATCTCAAAATATAAAGAATACATTAGGCAGGGCAAGCCAAATGACACAAAAAAGTATTTTGAATAGCCCAAACACAAAACAAACTTTGCTAACTTTACCTAGCAATCAATAAAATTACGAACCTACTTCCGAGTATATCCCCTCATGGGTATTACAAGTGTATGCAGAGGATGTAGTGCAAGCTTGCTTAAATAATCCAGGAATAAATCACATTCGAATGGGCTGAGTATGGGGCAAGTTAGTATACTTCTATGTTATTAGGTCTTAAATAATAACTTGAGTCATCTTACATCGTTCATGGCAAAGCAAGGACTAGTAGTTGGATTTCTCACAATAGAATGAGTAGAAAGCCTTGCAATACCATTCAATTCCCTTAGTTTAATATGCAAGAAAGCATATTTATCCCGAGTGGACTGTTGTTTCTAACTCGCCTAAGTCTCCTCAGCACCCCCAACAGGATTCTAAATTGGATCTTTGGCTTCAGCGACAAGATTAACACTCCTCTGCACAGTCGCTGATATCATTGGATCACAGGAAATATTTTATTTGCAAGGCAAATCAGGGCCTGGAGAGATCAATGTCGTTAAAACAAAATCAGATTCGCCATTTTATATATGCATTATATGCCGAATGTGTAATGGGTAATATAAGATTGTCTCAAGGAAAATAGTCCACTATAAAAATGTGATTTGAGAGAAGCATAGCCTACCTTGAAGGTAACAATTGTCATATTACCCTCTGTCACCCCTGGCTGTAGCAGAATGGCAATCTAGTCTTCTGACATCACAATCCGGTTTTGAATCTCGAGTATAGATAAGACGAGACCTTCACTGTGGTAGTCCACTCTGAGTGAAATAGCTTTCTTGAAAACAGAGCCAAGTAAAATTAAACGGGATCATGAGACCTTCAACGAATTTCATTGTCCAAGCTATCCGTCTTTACATCAAGATAAATGACCTAAGATAAGTAAAGTTCTGATTCAAGCTCATAGAGCATATAAGATCTCCAAAAACGTGGTTATACATCAGCTTAGCTTCATATCAAATTGGCTTATTCGCAAGCCAATAACCCCGAGGACTTTTGAAGGTTTTCGTTTCGTTTAGCTGAGTAATCAGTCCATACGCGACTAAGACCAGTTAATGCGTTTAAAGTAGTTTAAACCATGATTTTTAGTGGCCAAAACATCAACACTATGAGCCCTGATTCAGTAAACGAAAATAGCTCAACTTATACTCAGGAAGCAACAGAATTGTATATAAAAACTAACCTTTACTAGAAGTTGGTTGAACTCGTTGTCGCAGCTTGGTCTTGTTATCAGGGCGACTTAGTAGAACGAACCTTGCTCGAAGTCCTCTGTCATAGTAAGTATCATACTTCCCAGCATCAGACTAGAACTTGGTACATTCTCAGACTTTTCGCAGGCATCGTAATCGGCATCATCATTGAGTGTTGCCATTCTCCGCACCAAGCTACGAGTTCGTCAGAGACAAGTGAAATCACTCCCCCGGCCAACGTTCTGCTAAAAATGTATGATGCTGGGAATTATGATAACTATTATGGCAGAAGACTTTGGACAAGAGGTGCTCTAATAAGTCGCCCTGACAACAAGAACAAGTTGCGACAACGAGGTCAACCCACTTCTATAAATCGAAAGGAGACTGCGACCATACCAGGGGCCACACCAACTTATTCTTCATATCTTCGAATAACCTTGACTACCTTAGTTGAGAGTAAATTTGAGAAACACTCAGATACTCGAACTTAAAAAATGGTGAGTGAATATTCAGATAACCATGATTCCATTTTTGTAATTGACTCAGAAATACCATGATAAATTATTCTATTTTTGTGGATAGGCTGTTTGCAATATATATCTCAAAGAAAAATGATTTAATTTAATCTTATTCCTACATAAACTAGAAAGGAACGAAAATATCGGAAAACTCTTTACTTTACATCATAGGGATTAGATTCCAGATACTAGGTGGGCATAGTAACCTAGAAACATCAAGCAGATAG